ACACACAGACTGTGAGTCCAGTAGTGCGCATGCATCGAATCCATCAGGATTCGAACCCATGGCCATCATCGGTTTGCACCGCCAGCCAGCAGTTTATAGCACTGGGCCACGGCGGATCGTCATGATGTAGAGGCTGGACGCGGTATGGCGCGTCTCAGACCAAGAGCATCTGAATCAATGTGGTTGGCATCTCCCATATGTAATGTCAAGGACATGTGAGCAATCCAGAGTCGGATTAAACATAAACAAACGCTGGAGAATCCAAATGGCTCACTGATGTGGGCCATCTGGAGAACTTTTCGCGAAAAGCGCAATAATTGACGGCCTCGATTGTGAATGCTAGTGCAGGGTTCCGCGGACAAAAGCCAAAGCCAGCAAGCAGATAATGGTAAGTCGTGGCGACAATTTACAGTTGACCACTTCTCATGCTCCGTATATGACAGGGTACGGCATCTTTTTACCAAGCGCCAATCTCCCATGGATCCTTTGAAATAACAGTAACCCATTCTCAAATGCCAAAAAGAGTAAGTTAATCGGCAAATACTCCAACAACAACAGTTGTGGCAACAAAAGTGCTAGCAAAAATACTCTGTCCACCAATACAGACAGTAAAAGCTCCATTTCTTCATTTTTGTTGATTCACGATAAATGCATGGGACCTGTATACGACAGAGAGGAGAAGTACCACGGAGAACTGCGCTGACAATGTCAACCGAACCGACAGTAAACTATCTCAAGAGGTCTGGGATTGTGGTAACCAGGTCAGTAGAAAGATATTGTCGTCGCAAGATTAAAGTGAATCCACAGTAGTTACAAATGAGTACCCAGCCATCACAGTTATACAGTAACCGACGGTGAAGCCCAATACGAAAGTCAAGTGTGTGTAATCGTTCCCAGAGATGGTAGTAAAGCCATAATTCTATCTCCGAAAGAAGGGAGAGCGACAGACTATGTGTAGTATTCAATATGAAAGCAAAGTAGGCTCCGCAGTTTCGCGCAGTGGTCGAGAAAATTAGAGGACATAAACGCACAAAAGTTGTGCGGTTGGATCCAAAACGTTAAAACCGTCAGAGAATATGTTCGCCGTTTGTTGAAACTGAGCAAATTTAACGGTGCCATGACGGCCTGTGGGTCGCGTGAATCAACAGCACGCAGCCTAGTCGTCGTCCAAAGCTTCAAATCCAACAATCAGATCAACCGTTGCTCTCGTTAAACCCTGCTCCGTTCTACATTCAGTGAAAAATCAACGCTTTCTCCGATAAGTGATGACTGGGCATACCTAGCACTTCCCCAAAGTAAAGCAACATATTAAATGTCACTTGTTGCTCCTAGCTACTAACCTGATAATCATGGCCTAATACTTGCTTGGGCATATGACCACAGCAGATACGCTAACGTCAAACGACACTTTCAATTGTTCTTAAGTTATGATGATCAAAAACTTGAAGCATCGCAGATCCTCACATCAAAGAGCTGCTTCATCTCCATGAAGTACCACAGCTACCACTGAGGACCATGCATTCAAGGCCTTTCGGACCAAGGGCAATCTCTTTCTGGTGTCCCAGATGTGGCAAATTCATAAAAGTAGCCTTGGTTGGGGGGGGGGGGGGGGGTTCATTTGAAACACCCATTGTGTGAATGGATTGGGACGTGCAATCTCAAGGTGGACGGCGATTCGCAGTTTGAAGTGAACCTTGGTCTTTGAGATCAATGGGAGCGTAACTGATGAAGCAAATGGATATTGGGTGTTGCCCGCCCGCAAAGACTGCACTTCACTATGAGCTCAAACAAGATTGAAACGCATAGTGGAGTTGAGTGTTTTCGAGCGAGAAAACCGTCTTGGCTTTCGGAGTACATGAACTCATTTCAGAAGTCCTGTGTTCATCGCTGCAAATACAACTGCCAAGGTGGGAAAACTAATAAACCAGTTTCAGTTCCTCAATATCAAGAGTCAAGGAGCTAGCAAGCGGTTCGTGGCATTATGGTAGCAGTGCTTTGCGTTTTGAAGTTACAAAACGCACGTGAAAAGAAGAGACCAACTAGAAAGAGTTTATCGAGAGTTGATTGTGCCGCTTCCTGGTTACCAAGTGATAGGACGATATACTAATGCGCAGAATTCAAATAATGCTGAATGCAGTCGGGTAACCTGAGGTCAAATAGGTACTGTGATGACACAGCTGCAGGCAGCCGAACTGCGACAGTATTGCAGCAGTTGGCACTTGCAAAAGAAACAATTGAGGAACTTTGTAATTGGAGTTAGGAGTGTAAGAAAATTAGGGGAGGAAATCTAAGGCGTTAGTGGTAGCATGTATTGGTTTATCTGCCCCGATGTGTGCGGTAGACAAGGCGACTATTTGAAGCCATGTGACGACTGACGCAAGATGTGGTTGGGGATGTGTAGTAAATTCACCCAATGTCATACGTGGGATGGGATACTGTCAGAGTGCCTATAACTAAACAGAAGAACTATCAACGTCCTCAACCAGTCGGTCCTTCAATGCAGCTGTAGTGTGGGAATGATACGGTTCAAAAGAAATGAATGGCACTCCAGTGTCAGTCCAAACCAATACAGTTCTTCAGAACCCCAAGCACTGACCAAGCTGATAGCAGCGCCTACAAAGTCATGTGATGGCACCACCAAACATAGCGCAATGGATAGGGAAGGTACGCAAGTCACCATACTGAGGTTCAGTTTTGTTGTAAAGCTATTGGGTACAAATAATATAACCGGTGTATATGAATAGTATCAGCCCCATGGTCTCGCCACATACTGGTGAAGCAAAATAGACAAAAAATAAGCCGTTGGTGAGGCAAATGGTTACGAAACAGCCGGTATCCGAGGTTGTGTGACCATCAGTAAAACCACAACCGGTACTCCATGTGACCGCAAAGTCTGCATCATGGTCAACCAAGTCAGGTTAACCTGAGGATAGGTTATAGCAGCCGCGAACTAACATCCTCGAGGAGCAACTGTTACATTCGGCATCTTTCACCGAGGACGTAACCGTACTCTTCGAAGCGATTTGAAGTCCATGGACAACACAAACAAGCTATGCCAAGACGGACTGCGCAGGTGTTGACCTACAAAAGCAGCTTCTGCACTTAAGCTGAAGAGGTTGAAGCTCGTCTCCCTTCCTACCATAACACCAGTGTCAGAGTGCGGCTGCGCGCTCCCCTACTGTCCGATCACCCGGAGCGAGGAACAGATGGATGTCGATCGATCGATCGATATTTAACTCGTCCCTAGTTCATGAGGTGCGCTGTACGAAAATCAGTAGACCATGACTGTACGCTCTGTCCCATCATACGATGCAAGTAGATCTCTGGTCGCGATCTGTCGCATTTCACTCCCAGAATACGAGCCCAACTGAGGCCGCTGTTCCCCACCTAACATACACCATGTACACACACACACACACACACACACACACACACACACACACACACACACACACACACACACACACACGTGGACACAGGTACGAAGTTGTGGTGCTCGATCTGAAAGGAATCACACTAACCCTCCGTGTTTCGAGGAGCAAGTGGTCAATGTGGGGAACAGCTTGCTAGAACGGTGTCGCAGTTCAAGACAATCCTCCTGAACACATATTTCGTGAATGTGTGGTTCGCAGAAAATGACCCCATTTGAGGTGACATACTGCATTTCTGAGAATTATGTTTGTGAGAATAGACAATAAACGACACCAACTTACTAGGTGCTAAGTCTAATCAAAAGAGAATACTGTACTGAAAATTAAATAGAGGCGTATACGGTTTTGGAAGCGAGCTGTGAAGACCATGCAAGCAGAGACGAAAGTCAACTTACGGAACTATTGATGGCTGCAAGCAGCCGACCATTAAAATCAACCAGACGGTAGACAGCTCCGTTCACATCGTACACCATGACGGTGTCTAGTCTGGCGGCATCCGGATCCCAATGGAACACATGGATGCGGCCTTTGGACGGCTCAACTTCATCCTCCACTAGGAACGCAGTACCGACTGCGTAGTAAGCACCTTTGGAGCAGCCTTCCGCCGGCTTGATCGAGGTGATACTGATGGCGATCTCGATCAAGGTTTGACTGTAATGGAAGGAATGAGCAAACATCAGCTCCAGGGTGGACTGATTGAAGATAAGCAAGGAGGAGACTTCGAGCTCTCGGAACTTGCGTTCTGTGACAGACACGGATGCTAATGTGAAAGGAAGAGGAGAGACAAGAGGATGGAATTAGGGAAAGCAGGCATGGGTGTTTTATGACGCAGTAGACAGGAGAAGTGACACTGAGCACAACTTACATGTTGCCGTCTTTGGTAGACGACTGGTTGATTTAGGAACTTTGGGAGACAAAGAGATGGAAGATCGAATGGGTTTGAAGCCAACACCTTCTTGGAAGAATTCCTGGCGATAGGTGATGAGACCTAGACTCCCCGTGTCGTGCTGTAGGGCCAAACGCTTGGGAGTTTCTCCCAAAGGCAAAGAACGGACATGTAGTTTCTGGATCTCATCCACTGATCCGATGACCAAGGAATTCGGTGTCACTAGAGCGATGCTGAAAAGAGAAGATGTGACGGACTCGCAGTGGTGAAGAGCTTTATTCAGTATCGCCGCTAATCAAATTACACGAAAAAACGCATCAATGATATCATGCAGACGTATGGATATGTAAAAGTAAGTAAGAACAGAAGCGCGACTTATTAAATGAGGTTGCGAAATCCGTTGGAGAGACAACTGATCGGATAGTTAGCAAATGCCGAGGCAAAAATATCAGTACACTGGGAGAAGGTGATGGAGGTGCGTAAATGTAATCTTGTTGACAGTTCGCAAAGCGGCAAACATCCCACTCAAAGTAAGCAGAGCCTATTCCAGCCCCATCCATGAGATCAAGCGTCAGAGCAGCCAAATGAAGCACAACGAGACAATCGCGCGTGAACAATAGTGGATGACACCCAGTTAATCGGGAGGATCAGGCAGAGCTAATAATAATAATATTATAACAACAATAAAATAATAATAGGCACACTCCGCAACACGTAAGCAGCGGTGTGCATAATTGGCACAGAGTACCCGTAAAAAGAACCATGATGTTGAAGATCCGGTGTGTCTGTGCACGTTTCTGGCGACAGCGCGTGATGCGCTGGACTGCAGCTTAGTGAATGCTCAGAGGGTAGAATCAAACGCGGGGAATGTGGGCACGCCTGTTCGATATGCCTATGCAACTGGAGATTTAAGACAGATTAGTACGTAACTGCAATTCAGGGGTATGCGGAGAGTAAGGAATGACCGACCGTAACTCCTAGGACTTGCTCATGTCTCACTTATCTACAGGTGGTTTGCAGATAGATTTCAGTAACATATTACTAATTCTCTTTTTCTTTGATTACTGTATACTGAGAATATGCACCGAGTAGAGATGCCTCTGTGAAGCTGAATCTAATATTTTCATGGTGATTACTCTCGAAATCTTAAGTCGATAAAGTGCGAGTCCAGGAGTTGCTTAAACTCTGACACCGACTTTGCTTCGACTATGTCTGCAGGTAGGTTGTTCCAAGTATTCACCACCCTCTTATTCCTGTCTCTGAGTGCAGTGTTGATCTATGTTAAGGGTTAACTGTGAAAAGATTGCTTAACTAACACTATTCTGCACCCACCCGATATATATTATGATCTCTCTTGAGACGATTAACCAAGTGAATTGCCCATGTGAACATGGTCATTATCGTTCGCAGGTCAAAGTAATGTTAATGCATTCTCATGAGACCTGATTATGATCGGACAGCATCTCTAAATGGTAAGCAATTGGAACACATAATAATCCGTGTCCTTTCATTAGTTAACTTAGCTACAAAAGTCCGAAGCTGAACTGCTCCTCAGTTTTAGTCGAGGTAAATTGGAAAAGGGTTTGTGAATCAGATCGCTATGCTGCCAGCTTCGTAAACAGGAGAGGCGTTCGAACTAGAGTAGGTGGCCCGAACGTTTTGGGTTAAATCCTTACTGAACAGATGTTTAGTAAGCGATCCCCGTAGGCTTTCAAGATTCTATCACGGTCATACAACAATATTCGAGGGTGGTGTGATTTTGAATTGTTCGATCCTGGTGGGGAGTAGATGTTTGAGCAGAATTCAGTACCAGAAACAAACGTCCGGACTGCTAATCAACGTCTGACTGACCCATTCCGGACTGCGTGGCGGTGGACGCCGGGTTTGCAGAGGCTGTCACCGTGCATCCTCTGAGCAAACACAGGCGGCTCGATCGAATCTCGCTTGCTAGTTGTGCGGTAGTCGGCTGGAGAATATGTGAATGGAAGCACTTACGCGTTGGCAAACAACGCGTCCATCTTAAACGTGGCATGCTACGTGCAAGTGCACTAGTAGATTGGGGATCTAGCCTTCTCGAAGCCTCTTCAGCTCTGGAAATATTTGGGTGTTGCTCCTCCCAACACTGGTACACCAAGACCGCGGTTTCGTCCTGGTTTGGACTCATCAAGTGGCGATAGCATGAGCTGGGGTGGAATTCAGAGTCTAGTAGTTAACGGCTGATGCCCTGACTACACTACAGAGGTCCTCGCGATCGGAATAACCGAGGTTTACCTCAAAGTGAACCGAAGTCTCAATAGAGGTTGCATGTCGCAACCCAACCACACAGCGTGTTCCCCAAATTCAACTTTGAATTTTTCCGCTGTGCCAAGTGTTGTTCGTGGATCTAAGTAGTATAGTGTCCAGGACATCAGCCGTGAACTACTAGGCTCTGAGTTCCACCTCAGCTCAGGCTATCGCCACTTGATCAGTTCAAACCAGGACGAAACTGCGGTTGTGGTGTGCCAGTGTTGGGAGGAGCAACACCCAAATATTTCCATTCCGGATACGGTCCTCGCGATCGGAATGACTGAGGTTTATCTCAGTGAACCGAGGTCTCAATAGAGGTTGCGTATCGCAACCCAATCACACAGAAGGTTCCCAAAATTCAACTTCGAATTCATCTCCAGCTCTCCTCAGCACTTCAGTTATAGTTGGCACGACAACTTACTGTTCGCTAGAGGTACACTACTGGCACATTGATCGACTGGACATACAGGTCTTGTTCAGCACCCACAAACTTTACTGGATTTTTAGTGGTCTGGAGACCCGCCTATCAACATCACAGTACCAACGATTCTTGAGTTCTATATATTGATTGTTGACATTTAAAAGCACAATTAGAAGACGAAGTTCGGCAGATGCATGCATTCCGTATCATCTTATCAGTACCGATAACGATAAGCGGTAATTGTTACAACCGTTTGTGGATACAGATATACATACAAACCAACGAGAGAAAAAGCGGATATCTTTCTTCTACAACTAAGGCAGCCTGAGGCTGACCGATAATAGTTTTTGTACACAAAGCACTGGCTTAATCCAATTAATGGTAATAGCTTCGGCAAACCGGAGGAGCCGGGAATTGGTATGGCGAAGCAAGAAGTTAAACGCCTTGTTGACCTCAATTTGGTGACCCGATGTCAAGAAGTGACTGCCGATCGAAGATGCCGGCGGCAAGGGCACACACGTAGTCTGACTTGGATTTGCTTGCTGAATAACTCCGCAATGAACCAATTTTGGTACTTGCTTCTTTATTCGGGAACTCCGTGTTCTATTGGTTCTGCCTATGTAACTATCTCCGCAGTTACATACGGATTGATATACGCAGTTGGAGTTGGCCCCAATAGTTTTCTTCAACGGAGGCAAATGATAGCTTATAAGTTCCGTCGATGATTACAACTTCGGCAGCACAGAAAGTGCTCTGTGTGGCAGGAAGCAGACATCTTGTAGTCCTTGACATTTAGTAAAATGTCTACCTACAAGGTCTTAGGAGGCTTTTTAAAAGGTTTCTGGTGACAAGTTGTCCCGGAAAGTGATATTGCGATGCTTTTCCCTTTGGCAGGATGAATAGGATGAGTAGCGGACACGCCAAAACCAACTTTTAGGACTCACGTGAACACCAACTGTTGTAGCTTTTCCGTAAACGCCTTCGAATGACACTGGCTGATCTACACTATACTAATGTTGATGACACGCCAAGGAGAAAACCACTCACAAATTTCGCTAAAAGTTGATGGAATTTTGGAAGGACTTGTCACACTGCAGACGGCACAAAATATGTTGGTGTAAGAAAACACAAAACAGATGAGTCAGCAATTCCAAACGTATCCTCTGCAAGCTGATCGGACCAGGCTCGCCGTGTAGTGCCCACCTCAAGTATACACTACTCCAAGCCAGACGTGATTGTGTATGCACAATGCAGGCAGACATAGCCGTACTGGGAATCAAAGTTACCAATGTAAAACTGCAGAAGTACTATGTATGTGGAGAGAGCGGCTTTTGAGAAAAGTATCGACAGTGTCCAATGTTCATTCGGTGATATGGGCAGCACGCCTGAACCTGCTTTGGTTCTACGCAGCGACCAACGGATGTGAGGTCAAATGCACGTACGGAGGCTTGAGCCGGCATCTCAGGAACTGAAAGTCAAGTATCTGGACAAATGCGACATGCGTAGGGCACAACGGGAAACCGTAAGAGCGACCGGTCCCAACAAGTTAACCCCAACAAAGGTGAGCTACATCGCATGAAGGGTAAACGCCATAATCTTATCCTTTTAACACGTTGGCTCAAGCGCAGATGATAGACAGGCCTGATAAGGAGCAGCAAGTGTTTTTAAATTAACATCTTGAAATATGCTTGGAACCGGTCGAGAAGTTATGATTTCAGAAGGGTATGAAAACAACCGGAGAGGATTGGGACGGTAGGGATTCCTTATAAAGAGGGAAATTGGGATAGCATCCCAAGAGTATTAAAAAGAGAAAATATAACGGTGATTTTCCAAAAAGTCAAACGCTCCATTCGGCACTGGCGTAGATAGGAGGGCCAACTGCGACTATAAACTTAGCTGCAAGGACTGTGCACACACACACACCTGAACACAGGTATGTCAGTGGCGCCATAGTTGAACTAGTGTATCTGGCTTCATTGTCTCTCGTTTCTATCGGAAGGGTATACACAAAGCCCGGAGTAGTTTCTTTTACGAATACAAAGACGGTTGAGACAACCGAATACAAAGTATATCAGATGTCGCAAGTGCGCGGAAACATACATCCTTCGATCATTGAGGTGACATGCAAATTATTCAAAGGATATGAGTTAGATCTGTTTGATGCTCAGCCCGACTAGATTTATTTGGGATAAGGTGCAATGAGAAAAAGGACAGACAAATGTAGGAAGACAAGCTAAGCTGATGTCGGTCGAGCGTGAATGAGGGAAAACTTACCATTCACTGTAAAAGGACCCGTTCAAAGGCGTCATGTACAAGACTTCCTTCAAGTTGAGATTAGCGAAGACAAGTTTGTCCTTGATGGAGTAAATGACACAAGGATGATTGGAGCAGACGAACACGTTCACTTTGCACTGGGATCGCCACTGTCGCAAGAACATCGACGGACCGGTACCCGCGCTCACTCGCTTCGGGTCGACCAGATACAGGCGTTCTGTAACAGTGGAACACGATGACAGATACAGACGGGTGCATTAGGACAGAGTGATCAAGCAAGTGACGAGGCAAGACCAAAGTAGCCAGACGAATTAAACAGAAGGAATTGTTTGGAGGAACTTCAGTTAAGAAAGAGTTGTTTGGCCGTATGGATGGTAGCGTGAAGAACGGGAGCCAGGGAAAACCACACACACAGCATCAATGGTAGCGCATCGGCATGCTGTGCGGATGTTCAGTGGTCATGCAATCATAATGGGCAACACGATGAAGAGAAGAGTGACTTAGTGTGAAGATGGATCGTCCCAAGTAAGTGACCACAAACCAACATAGCTGACCGACATGTGGAAAAAAGACCATACAGACCACATAGGCTTCTGATGGATTCCAGCACGCTCTCTCTCTCATATTCAACTCTATTCCGCTGCGCATAATCTATACAGGGGTGCCATTTAGAAGACGACGAGGTTTGCTGCGTAACATGACCTCTAGATTGAAGTCAAGCCCTCGGATGTCGAGTGGATCCCAGTCCCCAGAGCCAGACGAGCAACCAGCATCCAGCCTATGGGTCGTAGAGTGCACCACCCTCCTCCACAAACTGGCCTACTGTTGATACAGGTACCAAAACTGTCCTTCAAGTAAAGAATAGTGTGGTTGGAAGAGGCAGTGCAGTGGCTGATGCAGTGGTATGCCAGCGATCGTTTTCGAGGACTAGATATGCATAGATAAAATGGACCCAGCTGCTCTAACCCAGAACGCAGTAAAAGCGGTTAGTAAAGAGATTAGGAAGATAGCAGAGGAAACAAAGTGGGTCAAATCAAGGGAAATATGTAGACTATGAGAATATGCTGTCACTCCTTAAGTTCTCTTCGATCACGCACGTGCAGATGACAAAAGATTCGAAGACAAGACCAAGTGAAATCGAGTGCGGGTCAATCGAGGGCTGATTGGTGCGTTATACGCTACCACGGTAGGTTTAGTGTTGTTATCAGCTGTTGCTCAGCACAGAGCGGTGGGTACTATCAAACCATTCACCGATATTGCATATTGATTCGCCTGGTTCAAACGTCAAAAATTCTACCCGTTTGTGTAGCCACTAAGGAATATGTTCGTCTACTCAATCAGTGCGCCTAACATAGCTGTCACCAGGCAGCTGTCACTGGACAAGTTCTATATAAACACTGGAAAGAGTACTACAAATAGACGGAGAAAAATGACCTAGCACAAAGTCATCACTGACTTTGTGATCGATAAGACTCTAAGCCATTGATACGGCATACTTCGAGGATCTCATTCGAGGATCAGGTGCACTTTGCTCAAAAACCACCGTGCAAGATTGTCAAAGAAACAATGTAAAACACTGCAACAGTAGAGCAATTAGTTGACATGGGCCACACAAACTACGAACTCACAAATGAACAATCAAAGTACTGATCAAACGGGAATAAACAAGATGGTAGAAGTGATCTTCACCTTGATAAGCGTTTGGTATCCCAAGGAAGTGTGTGACGTGAGACACCTGAGCAGGTTCTACACGATTACAGAGAACTCAAGGTAGTTGTGTAATGCGTATCTGGGGAGTTGATGAGAATCGCGAAATGCGATCGCCCTTCAGGCTCTCTACTAAAGTAGTTGCAAGTGACAAAATTTCGTGGGCAGAGCTATGCTTCGACCGGAACCAAATGAGCAACAGGGCCGGAACTGAGTAACGGTAATATCCACAATACATCAGCAACAAAAAAGCAATACACACCTCAACAATTAGGCTTCTAATGCCAACAGCAATGCAACGATCGACAACTGGCATCAATAATCAGAAAGTTAGGCTTCAAGCAATGACCGCAAAAGTGGCTGCGCATCAAGGTGTGCTTATACGACATGGGTACCAAAGGGACGAAGATCCGCAACAAAGCGACGGCACACTGTGCTTTGTGTGTGCGAACGAAATCACTGAATGGGTTGCACGCACACTAAACTGCGAACGACATGACAGGGGAGCTCTAAAGTGTCACATGGGAAAGGCACAAGGACGTTCAGAGTAGCGAAAGCGACAAACCACATGAAGGTTTAAGTGGAAATTCATCACAATTAGACTCAGTTAAGCAGCCGCCACAAGCCCAAAAAGCACGGTCGTTTCATTCTTGCTGAAATTTCAGGGTAGTTAGCAAACAGGCTAATCCCCATTTACTACAGTTTGCGGAGGCGGTAGCAATTCGGCGGCTGAAGCCAAAGCTATGCAAGCAAACGGATTTCGTGACCACGCCAGCCCTACCCTGGTGAGGCTAGTGATTGCGTTTTCCTCGGAACAGGTCACGTGAGCCTAAAGACCTTCGACCGCTTTGAATTTCTGCTGTTAACATCGCACTGTTTTCCACTCCTTGTATGTCAACAACTGAGGAGAATACGCGAAATTACTGAATTCAGTAAACTCTGTTAAAATGTTGTTTCTTCTTGTTTTATTGAAATTCGTGAAGGGAAATGCCTGTATGAAATTTCTAAAGAAACGCCTCCCTCTTGATACATTTCGCTCGTTGGACAAATTAGTGGAAATACGCTGTTGCATTGCTCGTGAGACAATGCGTGCGATTGTTTACCGTGAATGCCTGCAAACGTCAACTTACCCGCGTCAATTTGTAAAGTCATTGCGTAAGGACAATTTACCTGTCAATGCCCGAAACTTGCGAAGAGTAACTAAATCCCACATCGAAGCGAGTGCTCAGCGCATTGATGGATTAAACGCCAGATTGAGATGTGTGGACCAAGTACCCAATTGCTTAAACATTGTATGCCGTGCAAAATTCTTCAAATTCCTCCGCACTTTGTTGCTAAAAACGCGTTCAAATACTAAAAAGCATCTAATGAGTTCTATGTCACGGGATTGTTTCAACGATCAGTTTCCGTTAGAGCCTGAAAAGTATGTGTTAAATCTATCAACCACCCCGTTGAGTCGTCACCAACTTGAAGCTTTATCCCTTGGTTTCAATATTTCAGTTCCACCAAAGAGATGTGACAGAATAGGGATTGAAGCTCAGTTTGAGCATCTGTACGAACAACTGTCCAGTTTAACACAGGTCAGCGAGGATGCAAGCGGCTGGTTTAGGGCTAAAATGGT